TCATTTGAGAAAGTCCCTTCCTGGGGCCGCCACCATGTCCCTGCAGTGGGACTCTGCTCTGGTTTCGGCCCCTCTGGGCCAATCGGGAACCTCACTTCCAGGTCCCCCTGCTGTTCTCCCACCAGGCATTTTATCCTGGCCTCTGGGGGCTGGCCAGCAAATCAGCCCTGGCACTCTGCTATAAAGTGTGCCCACACTGACATGGGAGCCGGTCCCACCTCCTCTTGGCTTTGCCATTTTTACTTCTTCTCTGTTTTACCACAGCATCCCATCAGCTTTGCTTCTTGCCCAGCTGAGGTAAGTCTTTCTTTTCACAGACAGGCAGGCCCCAGGGGGGCTGGGGTGAGATGGCTCCAAGGTACAGCCTGCAGGCAGTATTAACCTAGAATAAGGGTGACTTTTTGTTTTCAAACAGATTCCTTCTGTTCATGTTCTGCTTTAAGCTTGATACCAGAGGTTGTGGCTACAGGGATGGAGGAGGCCACGAGTGGGAGTACCTTGGTAGCACTCCCCACTATAAGCACCAGCAGCTAGTTCCAAGCCAGAGGGGCTGAGGCTGGTGGGGTGAAACTGGAGTCTTAGGAAGGGCTGCTGCCAAGGCAGAGCTGACACCTAGGAGCTGAGGTCTTAGATAGTGGACCAAGGCTTAATGTGTGGCCAGAGGAAAAAGGGGCCAGGGCTGCAACAGGCTTCCCAGCATCTGTTGGGACTTCAGCTGAAGGAGCACCTCTTTAAAGAGGAAGCACTTGAGGAGAGAGAACAGGCCACGGGTGGGGTGAACCTAGCCGGAAAGTCAGGGCTGACCTGTGAGGACACCAGTGAAGCTATGTCCAGCTCCCAGTGATTGCCTCCCCTTCAAACCAAGATAAGATCAAAGTCATGGCAGGTGAGAGACTACAGGTGAGGTGGGGGCCAGGAAGGAGCTAGCAGGTGGGGAAGACCATGGAGGGGAAATCAGGTGCTGGGGTGGTGGACCACCAAAGGTGCCACAGTTATGTTGCTTTGTGGTTTCCTTAGTTCCTGCTCATCACATTCTATGACACACATTTATTTATCATTTGCGGTTTTGTGGAATAGCTGATCTAGAATTGTTCTGGGTTTTTTTTTGCCAAAATATATGCAAAGGCCAAGCAGAACAGCTGTGAAGGGTCAGCTTGGTTGTAATTCAAAACTGTACGAAAACTGTCTGCAGTATGCAGCTTTACCACGCAGTGAGCCATATTCTAAACTGCTGTAAGTTTGGCTTGAATTATTCCATTAATGTCAGTGGATCAAGACGTCAGTCGGTAGAAAACAACAATTGATGTTATTACCCTGGTATCCAGTAGGACTTCCTTGTCTTTCAAGATGTGAAACATTGTAGGTTGCCTCTGGTTTAGAACTTGGTCCAGCTCCAGGAATGTCTGAAAATATTCACTATATCTTTTCTGCTGGGAAAAAAATCCTCTCTCAATTTACTGTCAGCCCTCTGACCCAAAAATAAAATATATGGTACGTAACAAATTTGGTCACATAGTATTTTCCCAGCTAAAAAAAACTGAACTTCTAAATTGGCATGTAAACAAATACAGATGCAATTCTGCTTTTATTTAAAGCAAGGGCGGTTTGGCAGTTGACTCCTGTAGGCACAGGTTGGGGTCCTCTCCCTTGACACATGGGGTTAGAAAACCCTTCCTGTTACATACAGGAAAAATGGCCCATCTACATCATTCAGTTGTTCACAGTGAACTTTGAATGAGACCTATGAAGTTCCCTGCAAGTCCTTGACCTACAAAAAGCCGCTAAAAACAAGACTTTATAAGGCTGGCTGCTGGTTGTGTGACTTTACCTGTACATAATCTAGTGGATTTAGATAGAAGATGGGAGACCTGTTTTCAACCCGTGCTCTGCTTGAACTGGATCAGTCTTAAGCCTACGTCTCCCACTTCCCAGGACAGTGCCCTGACCAAGTATACAGAGTGCATGTGGGTGCCTCCCTGTTTACTAGGGGTGTACAAAGCGGGCCCTATTCAATTTGGTTTTAGATTCAGCCCAAATCAGGGACAGTGATTCAATTTGTTGATTTGGATCACTGTCCCTGATTCAATTTGGCCTAATCTAAATTCAATGCTGAAGATTCAATGCTGATTTGGAGAATCAGCAATTCAGACATAGACACAGCTTTAAAAGTTTTAAAAGCACTTCTGGTTCACTTCTAGGTCTGCCGGGGAGTGCGCTAGGGGGCCCCCCCACACTTCCCAAGCTCGGTAATTGGCCATGGGGGGACCTCGGGTGCCCCCCCCCCCAACCCAGGAGGCACCAGTTGCTGAGCTGTGGGGGTGAGGCCTGCAATGTGCTCCCCAGTGGACCTGGAAGTGGACTGGAAGTGCTTCTGGTCCACTTCCAGGTTTGCTGCCGAGTGTGCTGGGGAGTCCCCTGCACTTCCGTGGGATGCTCCGTGCACCCAAGCATCACAGCATTCACGAGCTGCCTGCTGCCTAGAGGTATGCAGAAAACATGTTTAAAGCTGTCTCTATGTCTGAATCTCCAAATCTCTCCAAATTGATTCAGAGGATTCCAATTCAATTTGGAGAGATTGAAGGGTCCTCTGATTTGATTCAGATTCAGCCTCCAAATTGGGCCGAATCTCCACTGAATTGAATCAGGGACCAAAGCTTTGCACAGCCCTGCTGGCCATTGCCTTTTTTTTCAGCTCCAATTTCAATAGTGATGGATGAACTACTAAGCACTGCCAAGAATAATCCAGAAGTTCAGATGATTTCCCATATCATAGCTGAACTATCAGTCCCTTTGGCTCAGTGAAAAAGTGCAGTACATAGGGACTGAGAAGGCTGAGGTTCTATTCTCCACTTCCACCTCTGTGACCCCAGGGAAGTCACTTTACCTCAACTTCCAATTCAGTTTTTGCAGGTTTAGAGGGTAAAGTCCTTGAAGCAGGCACTGTCTTTTTATTATGTTTGCATAGCACTCAACACCTGTATGTGTATGCAAGTGTAAGTATAGCAACATGATCATTTTGGCTCAAAGCTGGGATGAAATGCCAGAGCTCTTGTCTCTTTAAGGTTTGAAACTTTTCTGAAAGGGTGAGCAGGACCTGGCTCAGATGAGCTGGGTATAGCTGCACTAGAGGGTCCCTGGGAGACATTTAAGCTGGGGGATTTTGGAAAATCATGTTTGCTAGATTCTGGCAAACATTTTAATAAAATGCTTCAGCTTCAAACAGCAGCCTGGTCTGGGAGCGAAGCATTTGCACAGAACATAGCACAATAGAGCCCTGTAATAACTCTTCTAACCCATTCAATATGCAAAAGTAGACTAGAAATCCCGTGAGAATGAGTTTCCTCACAAGACTTCTGGTAATTCTGGCTTCCAGTTAGGCCATAAATAGTGAGAAATGCCTTTCTAGCACTTTTTGGGGGGAATTTGGCTTCCAGCCTGCACTAGAAAACTAGAGGCCGTGATTGAAATGAAAAATAATGAGAAAGAAAAGTTGTCCAGACCTTGGGAAAGCTCATGTTCAATACAGGGAAATTGTTCAGGTAGGTTCTTTTGTCTTTCGCCTGAGGAATTGTTCTGTTTCACAGCACAGGCCCCAGTGCTGGCGACCGAGGGCCATGGGACCCTAGGAGACTACCCCCAGGCTAATTGTTCCTGGACTGTCCTGGGTGCTTTTGGTGTTGCCACATGGCTGACAGTGATGCCTTTCCCATCCTCTCCTCTTGACAGCAGTCTGAATTGAGTCTGCTCAAACTGTCAAGGTAAGAATATTAGGCAAGTGCTAAGGTCTGGGGTGGTAGCCACTAGTCTGGGGTGTCATAGTTGAGTATCGCATGAGAAAGCTGAGCCTGGACAACACAGAGCAGATGGATGCTGCTTCCTGCAAGTTCATTAAATGTTTGAGTGTCTTCTGCTTCCTCTGTGCTATGGACATTAGAAATTGCAGACAGGAGAGCCAATCAGGCCATATTCTATGGTAGAAAGAGTCTTCTGAAATGATAAGCCCTCATCTTGTGTGTGCAAAGTCATACATTACGACACAGTCTTGAATAACACAACCACATGGTATTTCTCCATAGGACCCTCCCTCAGTCAGCTTACAAGACAAACAGATAATAAATTTAAAAAACTGACAAAAAAATTGACCTGAGTGTCTCTGGCACCTAAAGCATATGCTTTTGTTACTAAGCTATCCAGGTTTTAGACTGAAGGTGCTAGGACCTTTCAAGTTTTACTGTGCCCACATGAGAGCTTCCCACACATTGGTGCAACAAAAAAAAAAATTGCAGATAACAGAAAAATGTAGGCAAAACTAAACATAGTTCTCATGCAAGCACTTTTGATAGCCTGTAGACCTAAATTCATGCAGATCACTATAGGACCTAATTCCCTCCTTCCTTTCCTTCTGCAGTTGAAGTGATTTAGGGTACAAAGCTTCCAGTGCTGTAGAGGAACTCTGCTGAAGCTGGGTGTAGTGTAATCATTGACTTCAGTGGAAGCAAAACTGGGACTGTTGATACTTATGAATCTGATTGTTGTGCCCATAGATCAGAGATTGCATTGTTCTCAATTCTCAAAGGTATAGAGATATTTGAATCCCATAGGTTTCAATGGAACTTAGGTGTCTAAATACCTTTTGAGGGTCAGGGCTTAAGAGACTGAAGTGCCAGTTCTGTACCAAGCTCTGCATAGGTGTAGCCTTCACCAATATAAAGCCCCATTGGCACACACTGGCAAAAGGGTCTATGCATAAGATATTGGAGGTCTGAGGCACAGGACTTGGTGTAGAACAGAAGCCTTAAATTGCAGACATGGATCAATCAAGAGAAAATGTTTTGCATTTACAAAATGCTGGAACAAGAATGCTATCTAGTGTTTTAAAATCTGGCTCTAGATTTGGTGAGTTGTGTTTCTTGATTTGAAAAAGAGATCAAGCTTTTTTCCTTTTCATTTATACCTAAATGGGACTCCTGTTGAACTGATTTTACATATGACATGCTAAAAGGGGTTGTGTTCTCACTCACCCTAACAAAAAAAGGTTCTGAAGCTTTGTGTTTACAAGACTATACCACAGCCTTTCCATCACACTCTTGTTCTTAATTTTATTACAAGAGGTGAATGAATGCTGGCAAAAAGTATTTGCAAACATGTGTGGGAACAGCAAATATGCAAAGCAGCAGCCACAAGAAAAAGTTCACAAGCAATCCACTGAAATACGCTTGCATAAAACCCTTGTCAAATAATCTCGGTGAGTGAACAAATTTGCAAAGCCTGAGGTTTTCACAGGCAACTTTTGCAAACAAACAAATGGAACAGGCTGAGATAATTGAATAGATGATTTCCTATGAATCATTCAAATTCTAATGACAGCTTTCTTTATAAAAATGCCTGTAAAAACTTTGTAAAAACGTCTTTAATATCAATGCTTCTATACTCTCCTAGCTTTTGAGGGACTTGCTCCCTCAAAATGGTTGATTCTTCAGCTTTCATCATCACAGATTTCAGAGGCAGCCACATGGATCTGCTGGAAGGCATGAGGTGTACTGCCTACACTTTTTTATGAGAAAAATCACTTTGATGGGCTTCCATCTGCAGCCAGTTTGAAGGTTATTGTCATAAGAAGAGGACTGGAAACTTGCTTTGGAAACAACAAAAAAAAGTTTTGTGATTAACAATTTATTCCTTGACAGGTCTTATTAGCATGAGCCATTGTGATATTAATAATGGCCAGATCCTCAGTTGGGCTCACTTGATGTAACTCCACTGGGGACAATGGCGCTATGATAGCTCATACCAGCTCGGGATCTGGCCTTGCAGCTCTGTGTCCCATTTTCTATTTATATACTGGTCAGTCACTGGATAGCCTTTGAATGTCCTTTTCCTATTCTACCTTTAGGGAGCTCTCTACTGTAACAGATACTGAATTGTACCAGATCAGTGATCCATTTAGTCTAGGATCCTGTCTTTGGTAGGTGCTTGGAAGAACCCCCTCCCTCCCTCTCTCCCCATGGACAAGGTTCAACAAAGGAGTCTTTTCTAGCCTTCCCCAGCCAGCAAACTGATGCCCCAACTACTCATTCTGGGCTTGGTGGAACAAGCTATTTCCCTATGGCAGGGTGTTGAAAGTGGGAACAGTACTGAGGAGGTTTGAAAGTTCTCCCTCCTGACTCTACCTCAAGGACCTGGCTGGGCACAAAACAGGGAGTCATGATACCTCAAGCAAAGGTAGGCAGTAACGAACTGCTTCAGAGCAAAGAGAGAGAACAGGGCTGTAGTTCTGACAGAGCACGTTCCCAGCTCTGCTTCTGGAGCAATGCAGCTCCAAGTTATAAACTAAGAAGTTGAAATGTTGCGTGGGCTGAGGTGCAGGTGAGCAGGGAGTAAAATCTGGCGCTCCATTAAAAATCAGTGACAAATATCTTTAGAATAAAATTAGGATATGAAGAAGCCCAGTGGCCACCCTGACCAGTCGCCATAGAAGAATACATATGCATACAAAGGTAGAATTTGGTCTATAAGGTTACCCTTTTTTATTTGTACCTCTCTTGCCTTGAATGGGACATATGTAAATAGGAAGAAAAGACCAGTAATTCTGCTTATTCAGCAAAGATCTTGGTCCTGCAGATCCTTTGTACGTAGGAGGTCTGGCCCTGCAATTCAGTGAAATCATAGGCCAAATTCTTACTGCCTTCATAGATTGTAAGGCTAGAAGGGGCCTCAGAAGAGCATCAGGTCC